GGGGGGGGGGGTCAAAGAAAAATCAACTTTCAGCCATAACTTTTGAACCGTTGCAGATATCGAGTTGAACTTTTTTTTAAATGAAAGAACATAAAAAGACCTTTCTATTGAATATAAGAAATTGACAATCGGTGAATTTTTGGAAAAATTGGCTCATCAAATTTTTTGAAAAATTTTAATTTTGAATTTTTCCATTTTTCGACGGGAGGGGTCGCACGAAATGTTATGAATATGTGTGCAAAAGATAGCCCTTGTTCTTCTCTTGAAAATGAAACGAACATGTTGGGGAAATGATTAATTTCGGATTTTTGCTCTTTCAAAGTTGACGCGACAGGATACGTATATGGGCCTCGGGCCAGAGTCCCGCAGCTGCACCCGGGAGCACCCTCTTTCAAGTTGATCTCCGTAAATGTTTTACATTTTACAAAGGGTTGCCAGCCAAAATATTTTTTTCCATTCCCTGACTTTTCCCTGACTTTCCAATATTTTTCCCTGACTTTTAAGTATGGATCTGACGCAGTCTGTTAAAGTGAAAATGAGAGTCTCGGGCCCGCAACGCGAGCCCGAGACCGCCCGCGCCTAATTCCACGAAAAATCAGAAAAATCCCTGACCAACACCGAAATTCCCTGACTTTTCCCGGTTGATTTTTTTCCCCTGACTTTTCCCGGTTTTCCCGGTCGCTGGCAACCCTGTTTTACAGCATTTTGACGATTTAGTAAGCATACATATAAAGATGAATGTGCCATACGTAATTTCCCTTCCCCCTTTTTATATTTCATCTAAACCAATCTAGAATTTGGAAACGTCCAACTGGCGATTGGCACAGCGGTGGATCCAGAGTGAGTTGGAGGGGGGAAGGCATTTGATGATGTCGAGTGGGGGGTCTGCAGGGTTACCCCTTGACCAAGGGTGGTCTCCTCCGGAAAACTTACAAAAAAAATAGCCCCTCCCATATTGAATAATAAGCAGTTTCAGCACAGCATCTGTGCATTATTCGAAAGATGAAAATTGACGAATAGGTAATATCTCTTTTTGGTATATGGCCTATCTATTTCTGCGGTGTTGCGTAACCTTTGGTTTAGTAAACTTGGTTAAATAGTTCTAAAGATCTGCTTTGACACCATTTCAGTAAATTTTTAGTAGCACTCTCTTTCTCTCTCTCTTCTTGCCCTTTTCCTCCTTTTTTTCTTTCTTTCCCCTCTTTTTGAACCGAGGGGGGGGGGGATTGCTAGCCACCATGACTCAAACAAATGCCTCCCCCCTCCAACTCACTCTGGATCCACTGCTGTGCCAATCGCCAGTTGGACGTTTCCAAATTCTAGATTGGTTTAGATGAAATATAAAAAGGGGGAAGGGAAATTACGTATGGCACATTCATCTTTATAT